GATGTGTACTTCACATAATACAAAACTCACATCATAGAGAACTCAAAAAAAAAAATCAGAAAAAAGAAAACTTATTTTTAGGCCCCGAAATATTTTTTGGCGGGGGCCGAACGTCATCGGGTTCGGACCCCGAACGGGACCCCGAACGCCCGCACGTACGGAGGTTGGCCTGGGAACCTCCGTACGTACGGGCTGGTGACCCTGCCGGTAAGAGCTTAACTTGGGCAAGTGGCACTCGGCATCAGCTTTGATAATGTATGCACAAATTCAGCGCAGTAGCATGGCAAGTGTAATCGGCATTAGCTTGGCATGGCATTTTGCAGATGTAGTGGGGTGGAGGTGCTGGGATGGAGTTGGTGGGGTGGAGATGGCAGGATGGAGGGGCGGCGAGGCGGAGGTTGTGGGGTGGAGTTGGTGGCTCGAACAAGGTTCGGCGCACTTCACAGCATGTGTAGTATGGTGTTTTTTCTTTTTGTTTTTTAAATACAAAAAACAACTCTATTCTGGAGGGCACCAGTCCGGTTGCTCGTCACCGGCAAGCTGAAAAGACGAATGGAGGCAAAGCAGGTCAAGGTGCAAGTATGTTTTGCAGAGGTAGTGGGGCGGAGGTGATGAGATCAAGGTGGTGGGGCGGAAGTGGTGACGCCAAGGTGGTGGGGCAGCTGAGGTTGTGGGCCCAACGAGGTTGTGGGTCCAACGAGTTGTGGGCCGAATGAGGTTCGAACTCTCCACCTACTGCACAACTTGTGTAAGCACGTGATGGGCATCCTGATGTGCTACGGAACTTCTTCAGTCTGATCCCAATTTAGCAGTGTTTTTTTTTTTTTTTTTTTCGCTGGATAAAATTCTACAACATTGAGATGTTGTTGTTGTTGTTGTTGTTGTTGTTGGCTTGTGTGGTTTTAAGGCCATGTTGGATATTTTGTTGTCCAGGGTTGCGGAAAGTCAGTACAGCGGCATCGATTTGGCCATTCCTGTTACTCGACTATAGCCCAACGCCTGAGCCTAAAGTGGGTAATGGCCCCAGCTTTTCCGGGTTGTTTGTGGAGGGATTCCCGGCCTCCGTTTCTGTTTTGCAATATGATAGTTTCTTTGCTTGCAAAAAAAAAAAAAAAAAAAAAAGTTGTCTGTTTTTGTAATTAAGAAATTCCGGTCTTTCGATTTCCCCCGTCCGCTTGTGTTGCAGAGCTGGTGGGACTGATGGTGAGAGCAGATTTAAAGAAGGCCTTGGCTTATCCAGCAAGGGGCGAGCCTTCACTTGGCCCTGATGGCAAAATTTTGGTCGGTGCTGCCATAGGTCGGTATTCCCATCTTTTATGTCTGTTTGGATAAACCTTTTTTTTCTTTTGATTTGTTTTCCCATGTGTTTTGTGTGTTTTGTATGAACAAAAAAACACGTGCTTTTTTTCTTTTTTTTTCCTTTGACCTTCTCTTTGCCCTCTGTTTTCTGAAGGTGTTTCTGAAGGTACTTGCTGAAGAGAATTCGTTTAAAATGGCCTGAATGGCCTCCCTGTCAGATTCGACAAGTGATTGAATTGGTTTAGCTTAGAAGAATTGGCCTTAAAAAAGGCCTGCTGCCTGCAAGGCCTCCCTGTCAGATTCGACAGGTGATTGAATTGATTGGTCTTAAAAAAAAGAAAGAGCAAAAAAAATCGTTTAAAAGCTTGCTGCCTGCAAGGCCTCCCTGTCAGATTTGACAGGTGATTGAATTGATTGGTCTTAAAAAAAAGAAAGAGCAAAAAAATTCGTTTAAAAGCTTGCTGCCTGCAAGCCCTCCCTGTCAGATTCGACAGGTGATTGAATTGGTTGGGCTTAAAAGAATTAGTTTTTTGAAAAAAAAAAGAACAAAAAAAAGGTTTTTCTTATGGTAATTCGTTTAAAGCTTCCTGCCTGCAGTGGCTTGTGACACCCAACCTCACGCCCGGCGCGACTTCCTGATCGGAGTGGGATGTGGGCTTGGAAGTGCGAAAAGGGGTGTGCCAAGGATTTTTGGGAAAGTGGCGGTGGAGTCCCTGGTCGGAACTGAGATCTCCTGTGGCAAGGGTTCAGGGGCATAGGTGCAATAGGGCTAAGGGGCAGGTTGCTTCCGGTCTGATGGCGGTCGATGTGGTGCAGTCATAAGGCAGATGGCATGCGTGGTGCGTCAAGGGCCGTCCGATCCGTCTGTCTTGGTGACGGCGGTTCGGGAGAGGCCCGTTCGGAGTCAGACCTTCGGGTGCAGACACGTGGCTTCTGTCGCCGCGCGTTATGGTTAGGCCCCGTAGTTCCAGGGGTTCGGTGGGGGCTGCGTCGTCTGCAGTTTCTGCACGACGTGCGGGGCCAGTACGGGGCGATGGAATTCCACGGTACCACTGTGAGTTGGTGATACGGGAGGAGAAGACGGAAGGGAGGAAAATTGGTAGCGACAACAACAAAGCCGGAATTCCACGNAACAAAGCCGGAATTCCACGGTACCACTGTGAGTTGGTGATACGGGAGGAGAAGACGGAAGGGAGGAAAATTGGTAGCGACAACAACAAAGCCGGGGGATATGAAGTATTGAGTGTTATACGTAGTTGGGTAATCGGGACACCTTGGATCGCTGGTCATGGCCAAGCGAAACTCTTTGGGGCACAATCGGTTCTCGGTTAGGCAGGGAAATTCTGGGCGTCTCTGCCTAAGATATTCCCTTACCCAAGGTTCGAAGTACTCTGAGTCCCATGTGTACGTCATTTTGTTATTGCGGCGTAGTGGAAGCCTTCCGCACGCATCTAACTGACAAGGGGATTTCCCGATATGGTATCGGAAATTCCTATCAGCGTAGGTGCGTGAAAGAAGGAAAATTTCCCCCGCCTACCGGAGGTGCCCGGTTCATTAATGATCGCGAATTGCTGCGCGTGGATACGTGTAGGCTGCGCAGGTCAGATCGCGCTTACACGTATCCCCGCGGGGTGTTCGCTTGCACCCGAAAAAGGTGAGAGTTTAACTCTTCATGCAAAATCGGCACGTGTCATGGACAACGAC